GTGCAGTGTGAAGATTATGGTTTCAAATTAAATGTAACATCTTCATCGATTCATATTTAATGATTATCCACAGACGCAAACTATTAACCTAATACACGGAACTCCTAATTCTACATTTTAGAATTATAAATAAATATATATTTTAACCTTCCCTGGTACTCTTTGTATCCCACACTTAACTCCTCCTATACCTCCAAATACCCATATTTTTTAAGATGTCAGACTAAATACAAAGGCTCAACTCACTGTAACAAGGTCCCTCCTGAAAATGGGGTGTAGGTACACAATGTAAATTTGGGGTTTGTTGATCTGTGATTTAAACAAGTCATACCTTTCCATGAATAACAAAATCACTTAAAGTAAAATATTCTCTTGCAAAGCACATTTTATGTACTCTTTTCTGAGTATGAATACCAATCAAAGGTTGCCTCTTTTTACAGAGGAGTGTGTATAACAAAAGTGCTCAAAAGAGTCAAAAGGTGATTTACAGGGAGCTCAATACACTAGTGTGGAAATATCCTCTATTCCACTGAATAAATTTAGTAGATATTGGTGCGGTGTAAGTGACAAGGACCTACACCTATAAGTGGAGCGCTCAAACACAGATAAATCTTACCAAAACGTAGTCTCATGCAATGGTAAAATATGGGGTACATGTCAAAATAAAATACAGAAAATACAATATAGTGTAGACGGTACTAAAAAATGGCTTCACAGTGATTATAATAATATCGTGTTAAATATTACACTCACATTTCAAGGAGCCTGTATATAGAAAACACTGGCTCCGTATAAAGGCTTATGTGCTGTTATGGTAGCACCACCCTCCTACTTCGGCTTGAAGAATTTCTCGGGAACACGAAAAAAAGAGAAGAAAGCAAACCAATGTGTAGACTTATGGTGATATATTCTTATGGTGATATATTCTCAGTATATTTAAGTTTGAATGGTCTGTTTTGGGTTGTGAACTGACCACTGAATTCACAGATCTTTATCCCATCACTGTCACATAAAGAACCCCCACTCACGGGTATTGTTAGGGGTTCACTTTAAAATTCCATGTGTGTTTTTAGCACAGATCTGTTTTGGTGGCATGAGATTGGTGCTTTTACCATTTTATACTACTTGGCAGCTAATCAAAGTAGCGCAACTCAGATTCAGCACATTCCCCACACCATGGTAGTAAGGAGAATGCCTTAGGTGGATAGAATCACAAAGAGTTTTATAAGAGGTGGGGAGAGAGACAAAATAGTTTTTAGGAAATAAAAGAGAGTGAATGGATACAGGGGAATATGAAAGGATTGGGAATGAGTGGTATAGGACTGCATGGGTCATAGTATGGCATTGGAGATAGGTCTTCGAGTCAACTTTGAGTTAGGGGCTATCATACTTTGACACGGGCTAAAACTCCAGGAAATGTATCAACGGCCTTGCCCTCATCAGTTACAAGGAGTACAGTATGATATATTGGCAAAAAAAATCAAGGATTGGGGCAAGCGGCTTTTGAGTAAGGATTTGGATAAATATCTGTTTGTTTTTATGTACGTTCGTGTCCCAATAAAATGTTGTCTTTCTTGAAAGTGTTAGGTGTGATGTATAAAACAAATAGTAAAATTCCCAATAAAATCCATTTTAATCCTATTACAAAACATGGAAACACCCAAGGAGGACTA